TGATGATACATGACGATGATACATGATGATGATACATGACGATGATACATGATGATACATGATGATGTTGATAAATGATGATGATACATCATGACGATGCTACATGATGATACATGACAGGTATGAAACATGATGATGATACATGATGATGATGATGATGAAGTTACATCATGATGATGATGATGATACATGATGATGATACACGATGCGATGAAACACGATAATACATAGTGATGCTGATAGTGTTGACACATATTTCTAATAATATAACAATCAGAGATAATATTAACACAAGATAATTTTTCCCTCACTTACACGAATCAGCCTTGTCACATAGATTGTAAACCTCTCCATCATCTCCGTGGTCTGTCAGATGCCACAAGGCTTGGCAAACATCATAAACATGAACCGTATTCATCTTAAGGTCTTTAGTCCACAAAAGCTACAATAAACATAGTCAATAATCTAATCACACAGTGTCGTACGCGTACGAGCACACGCGTTCTGGCGCAAAAACAATCACGCAAAATTCACAAGTAGCCCAAGAAATAGGAAAAAAGGAAATTTTATGAATTTCAGTCAAACTTTTATATTAGGGAATGCTCCCCCCGCCTGCTAGCTACGCCCCTGCAATCACGAGATTATCATAGACACTATTCAAAATAATCTCGAATGAGAAACTCATAACAAGAAAATATAAAAGAAATGACACAATCCATCGACTTCTTTTGTATTTTCCTGTTAATCCAAGATAATTTTGACTCCTTCTGCCTCCACCCATACCCCCCTCGGTTCTGCACCATTGTCGATTGGTTGATAATTATAGCCATACTAACATGACTTATAATACCTTCATACTTTCTTTTAGCTGCTTATAGACAGCACCAATGATGAGCCTTGGTGCTGAAATAAACACAAAAAAATACCGTCATAAATCTCGGATATTCTGGTTGGCTGGTGGGGCGCACTTGTGTATTATGTGTCGTGGTTTATAACACAAATAATGTGCGCGCGCACTTTCTATTCCATCAAAAGTCAATCTCGTACCCAGAGCCTGCGTTTCTTCTGGCCTGCGTTGGAGAACGAGGGCTCTGCATGGCATAATCCATTTTTTGAGACCAGGATTTCTTGGACTTCGGTATAACAGCGCACGCATTCAAAGACAAAATAAAAATTAAAAATATTTTCCCCCCCCCGATTTTTAATTTGTACTATGATTTTTACTTTGATTTTGACTTTGCTTATTTTGACCGTTTATATCTCCCTTTCCGAAAATTGCGCATGCGCCAAAATATATGGATTATGCCAGAGCCCTCGTTCTTCGCCGCAGGCCAGAAGAAACGCAGGCTCTGGGTACGAGATTGATCAAAAGTATTCAAAAGAATGATTATTTTTCAACGTTTTTTAATTTGTATTTTAATTTGTTGTGCTTTGTGTAGTTATAAATCACTTGGGGATTGTCGAGAACACTTGAGGAGTGTTGAGAAGCAGGAAGAGAAGACAAATAAAAACATGTTTTTTCTACATGCGCATTGCATTTAGTTTTAAGGGAGACTCACAGGGAGCCCAATTTAGATTAAAGTGAATGGTGAAAATACAATCGGAAAAACTAAATAATATATGTGCTTTAATTCGAGGTCAAGATAATGACCTCCGTAATACGAAAGAGTAAAAAAATCGATAAAAATGCACTAGAACATTTTTTTTCGCGGGCGCCTTTGTTTTCCTATATAATTCCCCTATGGTATCTGAGGTCGCTATATATACAAAAGGTCATTATCTTGACCTCGAATTAAAAAAATATATTTAGTTTTATTTTATTTTCACCATTCACTTTAATCTAAATTGGGCTCCCTGTGGTGAGACTCACTGATTCCTTGTCTTGCACCAATACCATAGATTATAGCGGGACGAACGATAACGTACTTCAAACTGAAAACAAATAACAGCTTTGTTAATAGTAAATTATGAAACCTGATTGGCTAACTAAGAACGTTCGAGCAAAGCTGATTGGCTGAATGGGATAAACTCGAATTCTCATGATTCTTAAGGCATTATTCGCCATTTTGAGTATCAGGGGAAAACTGGGTCAACTTGGGATTGCAGTGCATTTCGGGGCTGTTTTTTCTTGGAAATACTACTCGACCGAATTTTTAACTCAACCTTGGAATGGATATTCATGTAAACTGCATGCTGATTGGTCGAAAGTCACAAACGTCAATAAACCGTTTTTTTCAAGGTTGCGTGCGCATCCAAATTAAAGGAACTCAACGGACCACTATGCCAGAACAAGAGCTTTATCAATATGGGAATTATCATACATTTCTATGAAMTTTTTCGATAAGAATTCATAAAATCGATTATTCTCCTCTTTAAATATAAAACTGGCTTCAATTTTGTGGCCCGTAAAGTTGGATGCGCACGCAACCTTGAGAAAACGGTCTATTGAACAATTTGTACAACACCACTGTGTTCATTGATTACAGACTCATTTACTCAGGCTTAGCCTCCCTTTAATAGAAATACTTTGAATCTCTGCAGACCTAGACTGGTATACATAAATATTCTAYACAAAATCAAAGCTCTGGGCAGCAGAGAACTCAAAACTAGAGCAACGCAAAAACTGGAAATGTGAAATTATTTTGGAGATTCTAACTTACCCTTCTATTTTTGCCAATTCTTTTTCCACCATCAGCTTACATTGACCAAGTCCTGTCCAGGGGCTTAATTTACTTTCCTCTTCCTTTTCTTTCTAAGGTGGGAAAAAATGAATGAATGAATGAATGATGGATGGATGGATGGATG